GGAAAAGGAAAAAGATGAGAAGAGATGTCACATAATCAATGTCATTTATATTATTTTTTAATTTTTTTTAAATAAAAAATTTTTAAATTAAAAATTATATAGGTTCATTTTATTTTATATTTAATTTTTATTAAATAAATTAAAATAATAAGATTTAAACTCGTAAATACTTAATTATCAAAAATTTAACATTATATTAAAAAATTATTTCATTTTAATAATTTAAATGATTAAAAAATTTAAAATATAATTTATATTATTATTGAAATAATATTCAATGCATCATGCACTGCCATGGTGAAACTAGTGGCAGAAGTTCTTTAGCATCATTTGACAGAAGAAAAACCAACCCATTGAGTGTTGCTAAAGAAAGCTGAGGGAATCATTTCTTGCAAGCGAAATCATTTGGTATTGTACTCTTTCTCTTGTCTCTCAGCCTTTTGAACACCCGAGGCCTATGAGCTTTTTTACAAATTTATCTTTTTTAGTGGTGCTGTAACTTATGTTTTTTAAATTATTTTTTATTTAAAAAATATTAAATTAATTTTTTTATAGTTTTGATATATTAATGTTAAAAATATAGAATATATAAAATACATCATTTTTTATATTTTTTTAATTAAAAAATATTCTTAAAAAATATGATGCATCGTGTTACCTGAAATTGTATCTAGTATTATAATAGATTATTTTTAAAAATATTTTTTTATTAAAACATATTTTTTATATTTTAAGATTTATTTTTAATATTATATATTAAATTAATCTAAAAACAATTAAAAATAGCATTTTCAACGCAACAGCAAACAAGTCTTTCAGACGATGTTTGTCCTCTTTCCTTTAAACAGTGAATCTTGTGAGGTTTGGTGCCACAGTGGGGACGGAAATGAGCCTTTTCTATTTCTTTGCAAATTTTAAAAAAATATCCACCACAGAATATGCAAGTAGAAAATATTTGGGACTAAACAGCAGTGTTATGAAACTATGACTAGATTAGTCAAAATTTTTATATAAAAAAAATTGATTTAAAGTGATTTCATTAAAAGTTTAGATTAACTAGATACCCAATTAAAAATCATTAATTTTTAAAAAATATTGTTCATACTTTAAAATATATATATTTTAATTCATATATCCTGTAACACGTAACTGAGACACTAGTTTGTATAAAGTTTAACAACTAAAAAATATTATATATTTTTTTTGTAAATGGAATTCCAGGTAGGACTAAGGTATAATTAAATCTGGAGTTCGTTCTTTTCCATAACCACTTTGTTTATAAAAATCTTTAGTTTATTGAAATTAACTTTTGTGAGCCAACCGCCCCATGAAAAAGCTAGCAAGGTTTGTCATCCCCCACATGCCCAGAAAAAAAGGTGTTCTTCTTGTTTAATCGAAGACCGCCATAGGTGCATAACATTAGCTCTCATGATTAATCAACACCATTTCATTATGATTATGAACCTCAATGATCAAATAATGAGTTCTTAAAAGCCCACAAATTTTGAAGAGGTTAGTGTGTTTAGTATTTTAATACAGGGTATTTTATAAAAATAATTTTTAATTAAAATATATTGTAAAATAATTTTTTTATTTTTCACATTAACATACCAGAAACATTCAAAAAAATTTAAAAATACATATTTTTTAAATGATAAAAAATTTTAAAAACAGATTGTAAATAAAAAATACATACTTAAAAGACTATTTGGTTTTATATTTCAAATTATATTTGGGTATATTTTAAAAACAAACAGAAACCTAATCACAAGTTAGGTTTCTTTGTTTTGACGGAAAACTAAGTTAGAAAAGAAGTTTGTGACATGTTGTTAAACAAGGAGACAAGTAGTTATGATTACAACATTCAAAAGCTATCTGTTGAAAAATAGTTTGTAATGTTGACAAGTTACAAAGCCAAGGGGGGAAAAACTTCAATGGCTAAAGAAAAACCTTCAATGATTAAAGTTTAAATAATAATTTATTTGATAACATGTTTTTTAAATAATTTTTTATATTAAAATATATATTAATAAATTTTTTTATTTTTAAAAAATTATATTTGAAATCAATATATTAAAATAATTTAAAAATATTAAAAATATATTAATTTGAAATAAATAAAAAAATTTAATTTTTTTTCAAAATAATTTTGAAAGGCAGAAGTGAAGATCCCTTACATGTTTACTAATTATGCATTATGTTCATGTCTGCAGTCAAAAGCACGCAGGTCCCATCAGAAGAAATTAATCACATTCAGCATTATTAATTAGTTTTGGAAAATTCTGTAGATGCATGAAAACCATGTATAAAAGTCCTACGAGTTGACTTGGCAAATGATATAAATAATTTCCAAGATCATTGTATTAAAATATCACATGTTTAGTATTGCAGTAAAAAATATTTTTTATTTTAAAATATATTAAAATATTTTTTTAATTTTTTAATTTTTAATATCAACATATCAGAATCATCAAAAACTAACATTAAAAAACATAAATTTAATATTTTTGAAGTGAAACTCATACAAAAACAGATGTCACTGCACTCCCATCACTCACATTTCAATTTATGTTTAAATAACTAACGAGTTATCTTCTAGAATATTTTTAAGTTATGCTTGTTTATCATTTTAAAATTACAGAGATGGAAATATATATATAAAATCGTGTTTATTTTGAGATATAAAAAGTAGAGATAAAAACATAAAACAAATATATCGATCTCTCTGATACTTTCAAAACAAGAAAGATGAAAAAACCTGTTTTCTTTATCTCATCTAGTCGATACAGTAACGAAAACACTCATTTGATCTGTGCTCCTTTAAATAGAAGATCCCAATGGCATTTCTTTTGCTTGTATGGTGGAGAACATGGTTGCCCATGCTTCGTTCCTGTTAAGATATCTATGTCAATGCACGCGCAAGGGGATGATCAGTCACTAAATATGAGAGAATGGATTTCACTTCAAGACATCATTCTCTATCATTTTCAGGATAACATGCATGCAAGTACCCAATGATCAATGCAACTTAACCCCTAAATACTTCCTCTTTAATTTATATATATATACATGTGTGTGTGTGTAATGATCACTGTATAGCATGGACGCAAGTTTCGATCAAAAGTGGCTAAAGGGGCTGAAATGAACTTTAACTAAGAAAAAATAAGTAGTTGATCTGATCAAGTTCTTCTTAAAGAGCTTGATTTGACTAATATAAGAAGCCGAGGGACTGCATGGATGATTTTTTTGCCTTTAATCCTCGAAATTCAGAAAAATATTACATGTTTGCTTGATTGTAGATACATGCTTGTGAACATATGCAGAGTACCTTTCCTTTTCCATTTCCTAGTCATTCACAGCCTAGCCTTTCAGAAAAAACAAGAGAGAGAAGGCATTGGTGTCTTTTTTATGTGTTGAAAGGAATAAAGAAATCAACTAACATGGTCGAAGGATACCATCAAGCCCATGAACAGCAACATGCAGGAAGCATCGCTTTTTTTTTTATTTTTAGATTAATGTGGGTGTTCGGACTAGTTTGTACGCACCACGACTAATCCCACGGGCCCTAAAGTTAATAACCATGTAAACCTTCAGTGGTCATCATATGAGCAACCAAGGACTCGAACCTGAGACCACAGAAGGAGCAAATCTCTTAATTCCAAGTCTTTATCACTTGACCACCACCTAAATGGTTAACTTTTTCATTAGGAGATCACCACTAGTGATCTACCAAAATTCATCACTTTATGATACGATATAACCCCCACCGGTGATCTACCAAAATCCATCACTTTATGGTACGATGTTATTCTGCCGTGTAGAATAATATTATATTATAAAATAATATAAATTATATCTTAAAAATTTAAATTATTAAGTTAAAATAGTTTTTTAATATGCTATTAAAATTTTAATGACTAATAATTACAAGTTCAAATCTTATTATTTTTATTTATTTAATAAAAAATAAGTACAATATAACATGGATTGATATACATTTCAAATTAAAAAAAAAAATATTCAAATTTGATAAAAAATAAACACAAAATAATATATATTGGTACAGATTTTAAATTCAAAAAAATTTCATTTAAAAAAATATGTTATAAAATAATATAAATTATATATTAAAACTCCATCTAACAACCTAAACTATTATATTAAAATGAATTTTTAATATACTCAAGGTGAGAGTATGTTAGACTCAATTTAGAGAAGATCAGTCTTAAAAATCTTTTTAGATCAACAGATTAGATGAATTAATCAAACCTGATAATAATGATAACAAAAAAAAAAAATCTGCCCATAATCTGAGGAATCAATCGTTCCAGTCCTAAGTATCAGAAGGTAGATACTATACAAAACCCTTGAATCAGGCATAAGTTATTGCTCGATAGATACATGATATTCAGACAAAATTTGCACGGGTTTTGATTATGTTTTCTTCTATCAAATTAACACCTACTAATTGGTCAATAATATGAAGAATAAATGTACAGCTAATACATGTATTAATCCAAGGTGAGGCCTAGAGGGGATCTTTATGTAATAATAAATCATCAATGCATGAAATTTGTCTTGTTTCACAAATAGAGACCCTACCTTTGCTAAAGACAGATATAGTTGTTGGATGTTTCTAAACTTGCGCAAACCAAGAACATGCGTGGTCCTTCTATTCTTGTATCGTGACAATTTACGCCTTTTACTTTAAATTGCATCAGATCAACCCATTTAGACACTATTTAGCATTGCATTTCATGTGGTTATATTGTTTCAAGATAGGCCTTTACTTTAAATGGGATCAAATCAACCTATTTAGATTCCATCTTGACATTGCATTAATTTCATGTGCTTTTCAAAATTATTTTTATTGGAAAAATATCAAAATGATACTTCCCCATGGTTTTGAGATCCTACGAATTAAAATATCTATAATTATTAATATAATATGTTTTTTTAAATAAAAAGTACTTGTAATTGTATTATGAAGCACTCATAGTTTTAGTATGATTTTGATATTATTTTAGTTTTTTTTGTTGTAATTTAAAAAAATAAAATTAAAAAAATTTATAAATTATATTTTTTTCTCAACCAAAACTCTAAGAAACACTACAACATTTAACAGTTTTACTGATAGAATTTTTTCATCTATGTAAGATAAATATTTCTTCGGTAATTAATTTACCAACAAAAAAACCAACGGAAATGCTCCATCGATGAATCTTTCATTAGTAATTTTTTATCCATCGGTAAATCTATTGGTAATAAAAAATATTATTGCCAACGGATTTACTGATGGAACAGACTCGTAAAAAAAATTACCCACTTTATTTTGTCGGTATATCACTAAAAAAAAATATCATCGGTAATTCCATCATAATTATTTAAAAACATTTTAAAAAATTCATTTCATAAAATTATAAAGTAAATAAATTAACATAAATCAACATTCCATAATATATACTCAAAATGCTTGGAAAAAAGAATAAGAAAATCAACTCAAACAAATTTGCAACAAATAAATAAAATGAAAAAATAAATTCAACTAAAAAAATTCATATGAAAAAAATGAAGTTGCAATTGCTAAAAATTTAAAAATCATATAAATAAATCAACTAAAAATTGATCTCATATGAAAAAAAATCTCACAACAACATTCATACAATTATTAAGGGCAAAACCAATAAAAAAAATAAAAAACAAGTATAGTGAAAAAAATCATGAAAAAAAAAGAAAAAAAATATTACTTTAATGTAGTTGTAAATGAAGCAAAGGAGAGAGAAAAATTTCATAAAGCATATTGATTAAAAAAAATTAAGAGGATAGAAGAAGACATACCCAAGCATGGAGGAGAAAAAAAAAAAAGAAGAGAAAGAAATAGATATTGATATTTTTTACATATAGTGAAAAAGAAGAAGTAGAAGTAATGGAAGAAAAAGAATGAGAAATGAGTCTATTTCTTGTGAAATAAGGGGATTTAGATTTTTTATTGGGGCGTGTTAGTGATGGTTCTATTGATGGATAATTAAATATTAATATTTTTAATTAATTCATCAGTAATTTTGTTTGTAATATTTAATTTAAATTTTCAATTTCAGAAACCGTCAATCAACGATGATTTTTCAATTCATCTGTGATATTTAAATAAAAATTTTAAACTAATTAAATTTTTTTAGAAAACCACCAAATAACACCGACGACTTTTCAATCCATCGGTGATTTTGTCCATAAAGAACAACAATTAATAGTGTAATTAAAAAATAAATAGTTCTAGAGCTTTCTGGAAAATACAAACGAAAAATTTCATTGATGATTCCCTTTATAATTTAAAGATTTACTGATGAAATAAATTTTATAGGTAATTTCGTTGGTAAAAATTACAAGTTGTTATTTTTTTACTTTATTTTAAAAAACATTTCCCACTAAAATTCTCTTATTCCCTTGGTATATATCAAGAAAATATTTTCGTAGGTAAATTCTTTCAAGAATTTACTTACAAAAATATTTTCTTGATATTTTTATTTATATTTATTGATTTACTAGCAGTGAAAGTTTTCAATGTAACCTATGCAAATTTTTTATGTATGTTGATTAACCAAATATTTTTAAATATATGGTTGAGACAAACCACATGCTACATTACTACATCACGCGACACAACAAAAACAAATGAAGACTTAGTCTCGTAAAAAAATACTACTTGCAATCCATGCATTTCAGGGGTGTTCACATTTCAGTTCATTTTGGATTAAAAATCTAACCAAACCAGAATTTTTAATTTCTAAAAATTTCAACCCAGATCAGGTCGGTTTGGGTTGGCTTTTTTGCTTCGGAAACCAGGAAACCCAATATCTTTCACGGCCTTCCAGCGAAAGATCTTACGCAGCCTCCCATAAACTGAGAGTTCATCGGATGCTGTCATTCTGAAGCCCACTTCATCAAGCCGTTTCATGCAGAAAGGGCATTGGAATTAGTTTATCACTTGGATAGGAGTAGACATATTAGAGGCAGAGGCATCAGTGTGACATATACGCAATCATCGGGCTCTCACCACGACGTCTTGCCTCATTATTTTTTCGAAAGAAAATAAACTAGATGATAATTTGTTGTATTTTCTAGATTTTGATTATTGTGATGCCTGAAAAAATAAATTTTATAATTTTTATTTAAAAATTTATTTTTAATTTAAAATACTTAGAAAATAACCTAAATAACTTTACAAACCCATAAATATCCTTAAAAAACCACATAAAAAATCAAATCAACTTAAAATAAAAAATCTTCTTGAACTCAAATTTGTTTTTTTAGATAATTTTAAGATATAAAAACACATGAGTAAAACTCCCATAATTTTTTGACACCAAAATTTATTATTTTAATGGTCAAAATAAATATCCACATTGTTTTTTTCTTTTTATTGCTGAAATTTGGCAACCTCCCTCTTACTTCTCAAACAAAAAACTAAAAAATAATAAAAATAAATTGTTATAATAAAACTAAATTGAAAAAACATTGAGGGACTATATATATATATATAATTTATAAAAGTTGTAACACATTTTCTACTTTGATTCAATGTCTTTTAATTTTGTTTTTACTCTATAAATTTGATCAAAGTGTTCTTTAATTTGATCCAAAATAATACACTCACAATGTTCAAGTATCAAATTAAAATAATAAAATTTTAAATAATAGATACACAGGAAAATGTGAGAGAATGAAAATAACAGTGTGAAAAGTGAAAAGATACTCCTTATATATTTTTAGTAATATGTGACTTTTAGCCTTTCTCAAATTTACGTGCCTTCTCTCCTTTTTATTTTCTCGACCATTTATTTAGGTGAAGTACATACAGATTCAATGATGTTGCCGTGGAAACATTGCCCATGGATCGCGATCCTTGTCAGGCTACTGAAAACGATCCCCACCGTCGCTTTCTTCAAAATCCACGGTCCAAAAACTCCCCCCCGAAAAGAACAGGTTCTTGAATTTCAAGAGAGCCCGCCTAAAAGAAGCAATCCTAGTGTTCTCAACACTCTCCACCCGGATCTCCATCTTTGCCGTCCATAAATTAAAAATCAACGGTCTGGAACCCATTTCATTCTCTCCTCCCTCTCGTTTTTTTCCTATAAAAATCGTCAGAGCCTCCATTCGTTTCCCACCAAAACAATCAAAACCCTAATTTCCCCCTCATTAGCTCGAGAAACAAACAGCTTCTCGATCACCCAATGGCGCGCACGAAGCAGACAGCAAGAAAATCCACCGGAGGGAAAGCCCCAAGGAAGCAACTGGCGACCAAGGCAGCCAGGAAGTCAGCTCCAGCCACCGGAGGAGTGAAGAAGCCCCACCGGTTCAGGCCAGGAACGGTGGCGTTGAGAGAAATAAGGAAGTACCAAAAGAGCACAGAGCTGTTGATAAGGAAGCTACCATTTCAGAGGCTGGTGAGAGAAATAGCCCAAGATTTCAAGACAGACTTGAGGTTCCAAAGCAGCGCGGTAGCAGCACTTCAAGAGGCAGCAGAGGCGTACCTTGTTGGGTTGTTTGAGGACACCAACTTGTGTGCTATTCATGCTAAGAGGGTCACTATCATGCCTAAGGATATTCAGCTGGCCCGTAGAATTAGAGGGGAGAGAGCTTAAACAACTTAGCTACTGATGTTGGGTTTCAGGCTGTCATGTCTGTCTCTGTTAAGATTCATGGTTGGTAGGTTTAGGGTTGGGCTTCGTTGTAGATCTTTTTCTGGATTTAAATGACAAATTGGGACTTTTAATTTGAATTCAATTCTGGATTTATATTAAATTTATAAATTCAAGATAAAAATGTTACAATTACACCAGGAAAAGAAAATGGCAATACAAGGATAAATTCTTGAGTTCCCCTAAAAGAATGAAGATGTTCTTCATTTCACTCCTTTCATCTCTCCTAATCGACTTCAGAATGCTTCTGTTGGGATACGACCAGCAAAGATGAAAGCTGAAACCATTTATTTTCAAAATTTAGTATCCGTGTGGGAAATATAGTGGTGATGGGAAAAGTTGCCAATAAAAGCGATGTAAAACAGCCCTACAGTAATTTTCTAAAATGCATAGAATAAGACTGTCAAGGGAGATGACCCAAAACTACAAACCTGGGTTCCAGCTATGATGGTGCCGTTGAGGGGATGGGCGGCGCACGCAGTAACACCTTCAGACAATGGAATAAACCTATTTTGCTTGTTTCTTCTGTTCACCCTGGATGGCCTCTCTGCGTCCTCTATGGGACTGCAGTTCGTATAATTAGGGCAACAGAATTTGAAATATAGCAAACCAACAAATACAAAGAGAGTAGATGACAAATGCGAGAGAGATACGTTTGGGGTGGGAAATGAAAATGGCTAGACCGTTGTTTTTGCAAGCACAAATAATGTAAGGGAAACATCAAACATGTATTGACAGCATTTACATATTCTTAATTGCGCCGATGATATTTGGACATATGTTAGTCCACTACGATAGGAAAGATCAGGGATTAGATGTTACCCTAAATTTTTTTCAGAAAAGCACAAAACTTTGCTTTTGAAAGGATCCCTTTACCTGTAGTCCACGTGGCAAGGAGAGCTGGGATCAGGATAGAAATCTAAAAGATGGATGCCATTGTCAGTTGATGATCCAACCACATAGATCTGCATTAAGAGATACGACTTGAATTCCACAGTTCAAGCTTGAAATAGTTTGAAAACCAGATTTGAGCAGAATAAATTTGGGTTATGACTAGATGAAACAAGCATCGAGTTGTCAAAATAATTAATGAGCAGAAAACTCAATTCAAGAACTCATGTGACTTCAAAAAACCGAATCAGGAAAGCCATACAAATGAAGCCTGGAGTGAGAATGATGAAACAGATCCTTTAAGATCAATGCTTAGCTTGACACAGCTTGTTTAAGTGACCTACAAGAAGGGTCACCAAAAGGTGCAGACTGACAACCTTCACAATTTTAGTTTTCAAACGGATGTTTCTTCATTACTGGAATTCAATTCTGTTTCATGAAATGTACATGAAAATATTTTACTGAATATGCTGCTATAATGGCGTAGGCCACAAGCTGAATAAATTAAAATCTAATCAATGATGTGCACTGCAAACATATTTCACAATGAACGAAATCACAAAAAGGTTCTTCCTTCTTGTTCCTTTTGCCAATGTTACTGCATTTGAACTGACCGGGGAATTTTGAGATAACTGTTTCATGCGTATCTTTAACATGAACCAGTCTACTCCAAGCATTGATGCGCAAATCACATAAATATTGTCTTATTATTTCTTGCTATCGTTCCAAGTCTCAGATTTTCAGCATTTTTTTTTATTTTGTAATCAAAATCAAAGATTGCACTCTTTTGGCCATCCAATTAAAAAATATTACCATTTTCATATAGCATGGGATTTAATTTAAAGAAGCAAAGAAATTTACAGGCAAATCATAAACAGCTACCATAATATTATAGAGTATAACAGCACTTTTTTGTCTAAAGACAGCAAATTCACACATCAAGATGGCATCACATGTATTACACAATGACATAAATAAACCAAGTGCAACCAGGTAAACAGAGGGTTGAGGCATCTTACTGAATGTGTCGCTAGCCATGATGGTTTTCTCAAGGACAACAGATCAGTGAAGGACCCATTCCTAATCACTCCAAGTCAACAAGAAGTAGATTTTCAATTAGGGAACGCAATTAGCAATTCTAATTATCAACATATACTGCAATTTTGCATGTGCCAAAATTACTTACAACCAAGCTGGGGGAGGGCAATGAACATGCGTAACTTGGAAATTGTAAATATCTAAAATGCCCGACCTGCATCATGTGAATAACTGGAAGGTCAAAATTAAATTAGAACACTTTCTCCACATTGGTTATGCAGACTGCTTGTCACCCAAAGGTCATCAATAGAAATTTTAAGGTTCAAACTTCCAAAACAATGACAGTTTAAATGACCTTAACTATTAGGATGAGAAAATATGTAACGCATAATTTCATTTAAGATGATTTGCATATATGAAAATGCAGCTACCAACAGAATTTTTAGGACAAACTACTGAGAAACTATGATTGAATTGAAAATTCACAGTGGAGAGAAATAGATACATAGGAAGAGTGAGGAGAAAAAGAAAAGCACTTGCATTTCTGACCTACCAACCATCATCAAGATGGAATGCCAACTGATACGGACAAGATGGATCAAAATCAATGGAGTGCACTTCTTTGGAGACAATATCTGATTGTGCCTGCAAAATGAATGGGACCAGCAGTTAAGAATGCAATATAAACAAGCAAAACACGATTAAGCATGAACCCTGTTCAATATATTATTATTTTATAACCTATTCTTCAACAGTTAACGCCATTTATGTCAAACTTTTATTCATTATCACTTTGGTCTGAAAACCATAAATAGTGAATCCACATGATGAAAAGGGACACCAGAGCAGTCACACATACCTTCAAAGATCCTATTCTCTCAAGCATTGATGATAACTTCCAAGACGTTACAGGTGGATGGCACATCTGATTGGACAACAGTCAATGTTGTATGGACATCAAAAACCAAACATAATTCAATTTTTTCATGTTATTGTTCTAAATAATTTCTTGATGCCCACATAGAATCATGTCAAATGCCTAGCTCAAACAAGCTGCAATGACAAACAAGTGTTGGGGCCAGAGATACTATTGAACATTGTTTAGCAGGACAAAACAGTATAGATTCATGGTTATATACTCGAATTATCTAAAATAACAACCACGATTTGCAATTTTTCCACTAGCCATTCCAGTTCCAACATCACAAAATTGAGTTTTGAGTTAGCATGTCAAGATACAAGCCCAGCTACTAACCTCTTTATGAATTTGAAAAGCAGAAGGAGCTCTTCCTCCACGGAGATCCCACATATAAACTATTCCATGCCGACCAGCCCCGAAAACCATCTGTGGTGAAGAATTTGCTTCTATCATGCTCCACCAAAAGATAGGTGAAATTTGCATGTACAACAAATGTTTCATTGAACAAGTAATTTACATTTCTTTCAATGAAAACAAGAATTTATATTCATAGAGGAATAGTAAGGATGAATAATAAGGTGACCCCCAATAAGCAAAAATCATTTGAAAAGGGAACTCTAATGTAAGGTGTCCACCAAGAAGCAGAATACCACAAGGAAACTAGGAAAACCATTGAATCCCATAAAGAGGATAGTCATTAAAAGATTTCTTTGAAATCTTATATTTGATGAACTAATGCAAATTTAACTGCAGGTATCACACAATAAGCTAGCATTGTAATTAATATCTCAATTGGTAGTCTTTCTCATCCACTCTTGAGGCAAACTGAGGTCCTGAACATATGCTGCTATGAAGAGCACTTAGATGTACAGAGGGCCCTAGGAAAATTTTTAGTTTTTATGTAAGTCAAGCAGTGATGTAAAACTTCATTTCAAGGAGGAAAAAAGTGCATATATCACTTCCCAAGGAAACACTAGAAGTAGGTGCTAACCTGATTTTCCACATTTAACTTGATACTGTTAAGGGCACTACGGGAATTAGATGTAAGCTCAAGACATGGAAGTGCACTCATTCTTCTATCCCATACATTGACTCCACCATTTGTATCAGAAGCAATTAACCTACATTTAAAGCAGAACACATAGTAAGAAGGAAGAAATCATCATTCCTTACCGAGCAAGGAAAAACAATACTGAAGGCAAACAGGAGATTGAGATTATTTGGCTGTAAGGAATCCAGAGCAGAGAACATACTATTCTTACTCCATTTTTATCAAAGAATTCTAAGTTGGTTCAAACTTTAAGGTACAAATAAGCCATTTTCTGAGTTACTTATAGACTTGGATGACTAATGCAGTCTCCCATTGATACTTAGTAGATTATATGCTATCCTTCAGAAATCCAGCGTTGAAGTCTGGCATGAAAATTGGTTTTACTGACCGAAAGTTACCCACTTGTCTGCAACTACCTTGATTCTGAAGTGAAAGCAATATCTGTTAGACCTTTATGAATGTCAGACCCATGAACAGTGACAGCACGCCTTGTTTTTAAAACCTGGATTAAGAATAAATGAAATTATTATCATGGCATTGAAAATATAGGATGTTAACAGAACAATAAAAACGTGAATGAAAATTCAAAAAGAAGAGTAATGATAGGAATCAAAACCCGGCCTCAACTCCAGAAAAGTTAGAAAAGAAACCAGGTAGGCCAATTTGGAACCAGGAACCTGGTTCAGCTAAACAAATTAGGTAGGCCCATTTGATGCCAGGAACCTAATTTAGCTAATCATGTCATCCAATGGTGCCTATGTTGATTTTTATGCTCTTATTAAAACAATTTAATCAAAAGAGCACCAGTAATGCTTTAACACTTCTAAGCATCTATTGCCAGAAATGAAGAACTCATTCTTTTAGTTTCAACTTTCCAAAGCTTCTCTTACCAAAACAATCCTGATTCTCCAACAAATAATTCTAGCCAAACCAAACTGCCAGTCCTGAAACCAAGTTTCCTCTGTTGTGTTTCCAATTTCATTATTACAGTTAAAAAATGAAACCTGAGAACCATCTATCTACTACACACAAAAATATATAGTGGTAGAAATATGGAAAAGGAAAAGATGAGATGATAAAGGAAAAGATCTTACTTCAACTGGTTCAGAAGAAATGTAACCAATATCAAAAATTTGTACTTCATTAGTTTTCATAGATGTGCAAGCGACCTACAAAAACAAGGAAAAATTTATCACGCAAAAAAATCATAACGAAATCAAGGTTATAACTGCATAATCAGCAGATGCAATCAACAAAGTGATTAATAGTTCCCATGCTAGAATCATTAAACAGATGTGTTGATACTTTTTGTGAACACTAATTTAATTGATCATCCAGTCAAGTATATTTTAATACAACGTGCACTGCAAATATATGACATTTGCCTCATCCACCCTTGAGAAAATGATTAGAAATTGTAAACGCACAAAATCCAAATAATCACACAGGTTCGTTTGTTTTGTGAGTGTTATTTCCTGCTTCTTTTAATATCTCATATGCCCAAATATAATTCCAACTAATATTGAATGTTTTCCACAATGATTCCTATGCCATTTTCCAACTCATCCCCCTGCATAACTATCACAAAAAAAGAATGTAAGTTACAGACACTGATTTTTAAGTTCCGAGCGCAAGTCAAACTACATTCTAGAGGTCAGTATCTGGCAACAATTCCCTGCTATGATTGTTGAAATGAATAAACAATTCCAACAAACCTCATCTTGGTTGGCAAGATTCCAGCGAACCGAGTCTAGTTGTCGGCCCAAAGAATTGTGCAAGACATGTTTACTTTCATCTTCACACTTTCTTTCATCTTTGCCAAAGCCTGATAGAAAAATTAAATAAAAAAAGAGTCAGTATGGAAAGAACATGACACCTCACCATACACACGCAGCTATAAAAGACTCCAAACTACTCCCTATTAGTAGAGCTAACAGGGTATGATTCACCACAAACACATATAACTGACAGGTATGACAGGCTTCCAGAAATACATATCCCAAAAGAATATATAAAAAAAAAAAAAAATACATAGCAAGCTCGAAGTGGATCTTACATGGAAATGAATCATTAGCCTGACAATAAAGTGATTCAAAGTCATGCACTGTCAAGCACCCTGATTTCGTCACTGATACTAAATAAATTCCCTGGAACACATATTCACAAAAATTACAAACGAAGCTTAGGAATAAAAGGAAAAAAATAACAAATGAACCTATGCACAATGTTTCAAAAATCAGACAACTTATGAGTCGTAAATAATTTTTTAACAATTCAAAATATGCATGGTGATTAAAGCATTCACCTTATTGTCAAACTCCAGGGCAGATACGCCTTGCCTGTAAAAAAGAAAAGAAACAATCACAAAACGAGTTACTAATATTCTGAAAAATAATTAATAAAATGACAAGATAGATACAATAACTGACTTGTTTATAGCGAATTGGCGAGTCAAGTCAGAGGCCAAACCCCTCGAATTCAACTGCTGAAATAAAATTAGGTCAAATAATTATAATCACAACAATTAAAAAAAATAGAGATTGAGAATAATAGCATACATTAGTTCGACAAGGAATTGCAGCATCTCCTTCTCCAATTGTATGATACAAGTGCGGAAAAGCTCCAATCTTTACAGAACAAAAAAGAAAAAAACCCTAAAATTACAAAAATAAGAGCTGAAAATTTGGTAAAAAAGAGAGGAGAAATTGAGACCTGAGAGTAGGATTGCAAGAGCAGAGCAGAGAGGTCATGGCGGTACTTTGACCCTAATCTGCCATTCAATTCGATTAAACTTCTCTTCCATTGATACAATCGAGTAGGTCTTCTAGGGTTTTCTTCCGCTGGAACCAAATACTTCTCCATTACAAGCAAAACAAAATAATCAAAATTTGGAGATTATTTGTTAAAATTACTAAAAAGAGTACATAGAAGCCCTTTCCATTTCCCGCCATTGGAATTGATGCTAACTTACAAACCTGACCGGTCCGCCCAGTTAACCGTTGATCCAGAACCGAGCCCGAGCCAGTTCTTTTTTTCAAACTATTTTGAATGCTAACTTGATCAATCGACGACCTGGGTGGGATTCGATTGGTTGAATTGCAACGAAGTTTTTTATTTAAAATAATACAATTTTAAATTTTTTTCTATATTTAAAAATTAAAACTCGGGTTTAAATCTCAAATTAACATAACTAACACAAACCCGAGTCTTAAACCAAATTAAACCCCGGGTTAGGTGCTTCGGGTGGATAAGCATTGAAGGAAAGATAAAATTATATTTTAGCCTCTGTACACTCCCAAATCTTTTAATTTCATCCCTACAGTCTTTCAACGCTTCCATTATTCCCTCGATCTTCAAATTTTAAGGAAAGATGAAATTCCATCCCTCTATTTTAGTTAATTCACAAAATGACTTGCTTGCATGCTGAAAAATAAATAATAAATGATAAATCTCTTTCAATTAAACCTCTAAAAAGCCTTCAAATGACACTTGTGCTGCCATATCTCCTGCTTCAAACTATTGATACCCTTGCAAGCCTCGCGAGTTCCTAACTACTAAAGTTGCTTGAATCTAAGACAAATCATCGAACACAACGGATTCAAAATAAACATCTAAATCTCTCATTTAAATCCAGAAAAGATTTACAACGAAAACGAACCCCAAATCTAACATGACACTCTGAAGCCTAATATCAATAGCTAAGATGAATTCAGAAATAAAAATCTCAATTTGTCATTTAAATCCAGAAAAAGATCTACAACGAAGCCCAACCATGAATCTTAACAGAGACAGAGACATGGCAGTCTGAAACTCAACATCAGTAGCTAAGTTGTTTAAGCTCTCTCCCCTCTAATTCTACGGGCCAGCTGAATGTCCTTAGGCATGATAGTGACCCTCTTAGCATGAATAGCACACAAGTTGGTGTCCTCAAACAACCCAACAAGGTACGCCTCTGCTGCCTCTTGAAGTGCTGCTACCGCGCTGCTTTGGAACCTCAAGTCTGTCTTGAAATCTTGGGCTATTTCTCTCACCAGCCTCTGAAATGGTAGCTTCCTTATCAACAGCTCTGTGCTCTTTTGGTACTTCCTTATTTCTCTCAACGCCACCGTTCCTGGCCTGAACCGGTGGGGCTTCTTCACTCCTCCGGTGGCTGGAGCTGACTTCCTGGCTGCCTTGGTCGCCAGTTGCTTCCTTGGGGCTTTCCCTCCGGTGGATTTTCTTGCTGTCTGCTTCGTGCGAGCCATTGGGTGATCGGGAATCTGTTTGTTTCTCGAGAAAATGAGGGGGAAATTAGGGTTTTGATTGTTTTGGTGGGAAACGAATGGAGGCTCTGACGATTTTTATAGGAAAAAAACGAGAGTGAGAAGAGGAGGATGAAATGTATTCTACATCGTTGATTTGTAATGTTATGAACGGTACAGATGGAGATCCGGGTGCGCTGTAAAGTGGCCAATAGGATTGATTCTAGTAGGCGGGCTCTTTTGAAACTTTGAGCTCCTTCCCTCTTCGGGGAGAGGGTTTGGACGGTGGATTTTAAAGGAGTCGACGGTGAGTAATGTTTGGAGAAGTTTGACGAGGATCACTATCCGCGTGCTCTGTTGAATACCCAATAGAAAAGCTTTATTTGCTTCATTTTAGGGGCATCGGGAGAGTAAATATGGACCGTTGATTTGCTAGACTATTCAATATGTAAATACACGCAAGTCTATTCAATTACTGGGATTAATCTCAACCAAAAAAAAAAATCATTAGCTTTTGAGCAGATTGAGTTCTCAAATATATATTTTTCTAGCATTAGATTTAAAAATTCTGATTAGATATTTATGCAGGAAAAAAAAAGGGGGAAGGAATGATCATGCCTACTTGAGTTTTTCATACAAGTTTTGTGGAAATCCTTTGAAACCTCAACTGAAAATTCTGAAAACTTGGGAATTTCATTGGAGAAAAAAAAATAAAGAGTCAATATTGTTCATGCTTCCTAGACTGGTAAGTTGTGATTTGATATTTTTGATTGATTTAATAAAAAAGTATAATTATTAGAATTAATTCAAGAAACTTATAATTTAAAGTTTGATTTAAATCGGTGTTTATGTTGATTTAAAAAAAATATTAATCTTATAAAATTTAGTTAATAAAACTAAATTTTTAATAACATAATAAAATCCAATCAAAAAACTGATAATTTAAAATACTATGAGCTAACCTAATAACTTAATGATGCAAACCCACAACTATGAAAAAAAAAAAACAATAAATCTCCTCCTACGACATTAAAAACTTTCACAGTCAATGTCAAAACGTTTGTTACACGTGTTACAAAAAACCTACATTTTGTTGTCCAATTAACCTTCCACTCAACTGTACATGTAGCTATAGGACAAATTTCTGAAGTGAAACCTACACATGTGAATGGAAATCAATCGAAGGAAGCTCTTGACCTGTAAATTTTCTTTATATACAAACAGCAATCACCAAGGAAGTTACAGTGAAGAATAAAAAATTATACCCAGTTGTTTGGAAGTGAAAAATAATGGAACCGGAAAGATGTTTCTCCGGCAGTGTCTCGATCAAGCCTAATATCTGCCTCGTTCCCCACGACTACATCATTCGGAATATCAGCCGCTGGCAGGGGCTGTATTTGATTCTGACTAGGTTGGCGTGCCAATTGAATTTCAGGTGGCAATGCCATAACAGGAGGGGACACAGACCTAAGCCGACCACTGCCGCCTGCAGTTGGCGGTGAAGACAATGTTCCGTCCCACAAGAGAACATGGATGAGAATAGGCACCTTGGCATGGCGATGTAAGGAAAGTTTCTGGCTTAGTGATACCGTGTCAAAACATCTGACTGCTCCTGTTGATGAAACCATCCAAGGAAGGACCTTCTGGTTTGATAATCTTGAAACAACCAGCAGTCTCGATGAGCTTGTTGCTTCTTTGTATAGATTGCTAAGCCCTGACCTTGTCGATGGTACATTGTCATCATCGTCCATAACTGATGAAACGTAGATAAAGCCCTGTCCACAGGAAACGAAAGCTTGGCAAATTAGCATCTTCGAAACATTGGTTGAGTCTGACAGTTGACTCGCTAACCCAAACCTGTTCAGAGCCAGTTTTTTACGAACCATTTTAGACATTGACCTAGTTACGAACCATTTGAGGAATTGACTCGAGTTAACCCAATGACTTGGAGGTTGAACCAACAACTAGTGACTGAGGCCCTAAACCGTGTCTGACGACTATGCTTCAAAATGACAAGTTACGAAAAAGATTAGAGTTGTGACTTGTGACCTGGAGAGTTATATTGAATGTGACCTGGAGAGTTATATTTAGAGTTGTGACTTGTGACCTGGAGAGTTACATAGAATACCTCTTCTGTGCGGCTGATGGAAAATCCAAGCTTAGTATCATCTTCTTTTATTTTGATCTCAATTGCAAATTCTCCACATAAAGGTGCATACCAAAGACGAACTGCTCTGACTACACCGAGATCAACCCCATGGTAATCCTCAAAACCATACAAGCTTACATGTGCAAGCCTAGACAAATCGGAAAATGAACCAGCATTCACAGTCGAGGAAGCTGTCTCTCCTGATATCTGTCCAAAAATATAAAAGAAACATGCTTTTCATAGTTGCAAGCCAGTTGGAGATTGCCAGAATTATAAAAAAGTACTCATGCTTTCTGTCTTAACTAATAACCCAACTTTGTTGAGGCTAGGGTGGTTACCTTGGTAAGCAAGGATTCGGTCTGAATATTCATGAAAACAATTGGAACTCCAGAAGCCTGAGATGCATACAGCCACGCATTTGCCCTGGCAAGAGTGTCCTCCAAGTCATTGTATCGAGAAGCAACTCGGTCTGAAGCTTTTGGAAGGAGGAGCAAAGAAAGAAAGCTGCTAGAGGTGGGAATTAGCAACTCCTGCATCTTCTTTTCCCACGGATAAGCCACATACCCATCTTGAAGCTTAGCCCTCTGTAATGCACTAACAATTCTGGAGCTTCTTGAAGCTACAAAATGCAACTAATCGTCTCACATTGATAGAAACGATAGCAGAACATAAAAGACAGGTTGCAAATTACATTCTAGTTCACCACATCAGCAAGTACAGAGGACTGGAGATTCCATATATTGCCTAGACCTATATATCAGCTACTTGCTATTAAGGGTATTCGAGATGTATACTAATGTTTTAAGCATTCCATCGCATTAATTTGTTGACACTTGTGAAGCTGGATTAAGTGCTCAACAAAAGCTGCAGGAAACTGCAACCACTAACAAGTTTCAACAGTAAGGCAATACCAGAAAATTGAAAAACGTCGTCTACGACAGTGAAAATTCTGTTGGCTTTGAAAAATACGAACAAAATCTCCGCTGAAAAACCGTCATTGAAAAATATCTCGTGGGGTTTTCTATTCCATTGGTATTTAAAAACACAGATGAAATCTTTAACAGAATATGACTCTTGTGGTGACTGGTTTTGAGACTTGAACAAGCACTCCTGTAGTGGAGAAATTCTTGTGGGCAACCAATGTTTCTTGTAGAATCTGAAATCTGTGAGGTCCAAAACCACGGCCACTTGCCCGTGTGTAAACATCAAAGCCTCAATTTTGAAGAGTTGAAATAGAGACATCAATCAAATATGATGTGAAAGAAAATAGGTGGCCTGACATGAATTGTAATTAATTAATAAAAGCCAAAACCACTTCAAGCCAAAAGAATGACACAGTGCCATGTTCGCTGCCCCAAATTAGAAACAGCAGTGGATTAAAAGGATAAAATAACTGAATTATCACGAATATTCATAAAAATCAATATGAAAAACAGGGAAAAAAACGATTTTTTGAGATAATCCCAAGTAAAAAATCTTCAAAAAATTAATTCGGTTCAATTTAGTTTTAGAATTTAGAAATAAAAAAACAATTTGAGAAATCAAACAAAAAAAACTAAGAATATATATATATATAATTAAACAAAGTTAAAATTGATCCAAACTAATTACGGACTTTTATTTTTATTCCAATTCGATTCCTTCCCTTTAAAACATTGGAATTCTTCTAACAAGACAAAAATTGTTTTAACCGATGCTGACGGCCAAGCTACATTCAGACCAGAGGCACTTTCTTGAAAATGACTCTGATAGGGAAAGGGACGGATTCATGAACCTGACAAGTGGGGCAAGAAGATAAACTGTATACAAGAAATCCACTGACTTTTTGTTGTGATTATCCAGAAAACAAATAATTAAGATATGCGTGGAATCCAGTTGAAACTATATTTTTTAAAATTGTAAAAATAATTTTATTAAAAAAATAATTTTTTATATTTGTAAATAATTTTTATATTTAATTTTAAAAAATAAAAAAATATTACTTTAATATTTTTTCAAATAAAAACTACTTTAAACCTTATCCAACAACTTTTAATAAAAAATACTTTAAACCTTTTCAAATATCATTAACACAGTATATTTAAACGATAGTCAACTACTTTTAATATTCATATATTGTTGTTTTGATAATTTGTTATTTTTTAAACCCTTTTAAGCTTGCCTGTGAAATTTGAAGAACAATACTATAATCTTCTTTTTAATTAAACTTAAGACAAAAAGGCTTTATATTAGGGTTATTAAACCCGATTTAGATCATGATTTTGTTTGAGACAAATTAAATGGGTTAATATGATGTATCAAAACAATATTATTTAAAATCTTTTTAAATTAAAAACAACGTTATTTTCTTAAAAAATAATCAATTCAAGTCTATTAACATAAAATTAACTTCTATTTTATTTTTAAAAACCTAGCCCGATTCAAATCACAGGTGAACTTGTTGTTTCAAGGACCAAGTTTAAATTAAAACTATACTTTATACCAACACAGTTGAGGATAATAAATAAATAAAATCCCCCCACCCTGCTTATCTCAAGATAAAAGGTACACCCTACTCATCAAAAAGTCATGCAAGGCACCATTCTCAGAAACATCAAAACTTTCAAGTAAAGTTCATCATCTAACTCACCTTGTAGCTCAAAGCATTCAGCCTCGGACCGATCCGTGAACCCGACAGCGTAATTCGGATCCTCAATAGACCTCAAAACATATTTATTTTTGTAACCCGACTCGGGCACAACACAGGCATGCAACTCAGCAAACTCATCTCTACCACGTCTAACTCGAACAACAATGGAAGTCTCTTTGTTTTTGAACGATTTATGAAGTATCTTTTGAACCCCACTTTTTCCGTTCTCGAACGGAGCTTTATATCTTACAGACCTGGATCCGGATGATGATGACCCGGATCCGATCAGAATTTCTTCAACTATATCTCCTG